GGCCAAGAATCTTGCTCCAAACCATCTGTTAGTGGAGATTCATCCTTAAGACAAACTGACTCCTCTTGAAGCCAATCAGCATTCAGGGTTCCCTGCCATTCCCAGCTACCCTAGGATTCTCCAGAGCCTCATGTCCTGCAATTCTGGAAATGCTGAAAATCCTGATTGTTCTACAGAAAGGTCGGTTTTAGTTTGTGGGGACATTCTTCTGAAGAACAAACATGCAAATGACATATGCCCACATATAGTCATTTATACTATGTACACAGATACTAATTTGATCCCATGTATATATCCGGGCATATTTTTTCTCTCTCTGCTGTTCTCTCTCTCTTTCTGCAAACCTACTATTGATGGAGCACTGTCTTATCTCTTCTGGGACTAACTGCACCATGTCCCATGATATTTTTCTTTCTTTCTTCTGAGCAAGTATACTGGGACCACTTTTGTCTCAGAGTGCTTGAAATCCAATCTAATTGGTGAACATCATTTTCTAGGAAGCTCATAGGGGTGTTGATAGAGAATGGATGCACTTGTGAGAGAGAGATGAAAAACCAGCAAGCAGATTGGCCTGAACTGAATTAGAAGAGGCACTTGAGAAGGAGAAAGGGGACAGTAATAAACTATTTCCCCTTTTTTGACTATTTTGCTCAGGACCTACATGTTCAGTGCATTCTGGAGGGATAATGAGGCTCACTGAATTCATCTGTCCTGGATATCTTCCACCTCCTACATTCTTACCTAGTAGGACCTGTGCATATTTTTTGCAGGCCTTTCATTGGTGTCCATGTTAAACCTCCAGCTAGAGTATCCAAAATTAAGTGATTATAACAGCCTGCCCAACTTCTTTGTGAAGAGTAATATATTTATGCATATTATATTCTTTATCTCCATATGCCCATTTGATGAGTCTGGATTTTACTTTTATAATCTAGACCTTTTCCAAGAAATATTTGCCCTTTGTGGCATTCTGAACTAAAAGTGTAGAAAAGGGAAGACTTGCCATTATGTCATTGTTCACAGAGAACCAGAAATAATATTGACTTCAGAGCTGAATTTGGTCCCTATCAGAAGGGTTGCCTTTGTTTTCTCATTATTTAAGGGGTGGGGAAGTCATCACATGCTTTCAAATGCATTTTAATGAGTGTTTATAAAGTTGTGGGGATCACATTGGTGGCTTTGTCTGCCTGATTATGAAATGGGAGTCTTTAGGCATTTGTGGATAGAGATAAAGCCATTCCTTTCTTTAAAATACCAGAGAACCATCCCTCCCCTCCCGGTGTCCTCCCTCACACACAACAAAGGCAGGACCTGTGAGGTCTCAGGCTGGGAGTTGGGAACCTGAAGTTTACTGTTGTCATTATATCTTAACTAGTTGTATGACCACAAGCAAATTGCATTCCATTCTGTTTTGTGTAAAAAGAGGAGGTTGAAATATGCTCTCTAGAAATCCTGCCAGTGTCTGCTGATTAACTTTTCTTGTAAAAAGAGAAATTAGAAATTTCATAGTGAGTGGGCAGGATCATGCGCAATACATGGCCTGAATAAAGTAGGGGTTTGCTGGTAGCTTGGACCAATAGCTTGCTGTCATGGAGTCCACAGAGCCTGGAAATGGCACATGCATGAAGCTAGAAGTTTTGGTTAGAAGGGTCTGAAAGCTTGGTTGGGACCTTCCATCCCCAATGCAAAGTTGATAGGGGAAGCCATTCAGGAGTAGCAAGCTATCTGCTGCATTTGATCTAAAATGTTGGTCACAGGAATCAATCAACACCCAGCAGACCTCAGCTCATTACCACTGGTCCAGGTGACTCAGTGAAGATGTGCACTAAGCATGGGAGACAACCCAGCCATCTTCTTGCAACTGAGATGAGTAACAAATCATGGAACTGTGTAAGAGGAGAAACTAAGGCAAGCCTGTATCTATGGGAAAAATTAACTGGATAATAGATTTCCATGCTTCACCAATGCCTGGTGAAAGCAGATGCATTTAGAGCAAGGTTGGGTGGTTCCATGTAAATGCAGCCACCTTCCTGAGCCTTGTTTAAGCTTGGCTAGAGTTCTTGCCAGTCAGCCAGGGTGCTGTAGGCCAACTCTTGAAAACTCTCACTATAAAATTCCAAATGCAAAGCTGCATAGCTTCTAACAAAGTCGAGTCTCATTTAAGTCCATTGAAAAAGGAGAACTCAGTGCTCTCTTGGGCAGTGCATATACTGAAAAAGGAGAGTTCAGAAGAGGCTCCCATCTGCCCCTCTGCTGAAACTGCAGCCTCGACTAGCAACTCTGTGCACCCAGAGGACAAGGCCAGCCTGTCCTCTGATTAGGCATGCTCCCAAAGTATTCAATGAGGTGAGCAGCTGTCCAGCTGCAGACTTGGCACAGCAAGAGTGGCACCTGCTGCAGCAATTGGATCCACCAGCATTGGGACTGCCATTAACATCTCCCAGGGGCATCCTGAGGTCTACTTTGTCATTGAGGAACTGGTTGGAATTGGAATTGAGGGGGGAACATTAGCTTGGATGCACTGATGGGTGCCTGAAATTTGGAGACCCCTGTCCTTTGCAAATGGTTCCTAATATTACGTTTAGCATCCCAGGGGTCACTTCCTGCTTTCTCCACCTCCTTCAACCTTAGTCCCAACAGGTTAATGGAATACCTACCCTTAAATGAAAGCTCCAGGAGCACACAGAATCTGCCAGGGATTCCAGGACACTGCTACTCATAGCCCCTGCCCTCTCTTCCTTCCCATCCCCAACCCCATCCCTCCCCTGCCTGACTCTACATAGCCTTCACTGTCATTAAATCTGTCTTGCAGTCTAAGATATTACAAACAGCACATTGGGACCAACAACTGCCATCTGAGACTCTCTACAGGGGATCTTATCTAAAACCCACACTGTCATTCCTCATTGATCCATTTCATATATTTCTATTCAATATATTGGATTTCTTTGACCTTTTTTGGCAGAATGTAAAAGAGACCAAATTTCAGTTTGGGACCCAGTGACTTGTTTGTGGGATGCTCCATGCTGATTGAATGAATGGACAGGAAAATATGTGGCCTGATCATTTCAAAAGAAAAGGCAAAGAAATAGGCAAGTCCCCTCAGTCAGAGTGGTGGAGCCTCTTCTGTAAGGACAAGGTAGTAAGTCTCCTGCTCTTTTGGTGAATTAAGGCAATGGGTCTGGAGGCAGCTGAATGGTTATGGAGGGGCCCTGCATCTTCCCTCCAATTGAGCAACTCTGAGCAAGTCCTGCCCCCTCTCTGGGTCTCAGGGTCCCTGTCTTTAATAGGACAGGGTTGGACTCCCAGGGTCCTTCTAGATCTACTAGGTGCCCCAGAATCTGTCCCATTCCACATAAGAGTCAGAGCAGCATCATGAATGAGAACTAAAATTATGCTCATTTTACAAATGAAGAAACTGGGGCTCAGAGATATTAAGTGCAAAGGCAAAGACTTAGGTGTTTCTGCCTCGGGACAAGGGCTCTATGCCACATTGGCTCCACTGTGCTCTGGGCCAGTGGTTCTCAATTTGACTGTCCACTTAAAATCAGCCAGAGAGCTTTGAAAAATTTCAGAAGCCTGGAACCCACCCCAGATGAGATTGAAGTAATTCATTTATGGTGGGAAAGCCTGGGAATCTGGGTGTCTCTGATGTGCAGCAAGGTGTAGAAATGCAGACCTGGGGGATCGCTTATGATATTCAGTCTGCCATGAGAGTCATGATCACTGTTGTACTAGCAGGTGGCCTCACACAGCTGTTGACTCCCCTGTGAGCCAAATACGAGGGGACAGTACTGGATGTCTCAGTGAGATTGCCAAAGTTAAAAGGGGGTTTCTTACATGAAAAAATGCTTGAAGAGAAATGTATCTGTTAGACTGTTGGTATTTAGGTTATTTTCAAACCCCTCTCTACCCACTCATATTCCTTCAATCCACTCCCTTTCCCCTTTTCTTGCAGGCCATAGCCATTAACATGACAACTACAGGTGACTATATAAATCTTGAAAGAGTAGGAAATACTGCATTACTAATTGCTTTTTTACCAAAGTTATGCTTTTATAAATGGTAAGCAGCTCCCCTAAGGTGCATATCCCAGATTGGGGTCTTTTCCTGTTGTTTCATATCTCTACAACCTGAGGATGCATCTGCAGAGAGGAATTTCTTATTTAGATAGCTTTATACTTTTTTGCACTACAAGTCATTCTCATTAAAAACAAACAAGCAATACAAAATGGAGAATAGAAAGGGAATTGCCAGTCCTCCCCAAGAGGTCATTATTCCAAATGATTGCATGTATGTTTTCCCAAGTTATTTTTATATGCTCATACCAATGTGTGTTAGTGCATGTGTGTGTGTGTGTGTGTGTGTGTGTGTAAAAATAAATGGAACCATGCTACAGTGACTGTTCTGCAACTTGTATTTTCCTCTAAACAGTGTATCTTAGACAGCTGCCCTGAAGAATACACTCAGAGCTCCTTCATTTCTTGAAAGGTTCTGTTATGTTCCATTTTATCACTGCAACATGATATATTTAACCAAGACAAGGAAGCAACCTAAAAGTTCAATGTCTATGTTATGCTTTTCCTTTTAAAAAAAATCTGGGTATCTGCAGATAGGTGCAAATTGAAAATATCTTGGCTACTTCTAGTTTGCTATCAAATGCCTGTCTTTGACAGAACAGTTTATTTAGTGACTTCTGCATAGTTTTGCTGCTCTCCTTTAAGTGGACAAAGAATATCACTTGACTTTCTGAGTGGCTTTCTGTGGTATTTAGTATTACTGATAGCATAATGCCTTGTTTAAAATGTAACAAGACAGTTTAAATGAAACACAGCAACAAAGAAACAAGTATTATGGTTCCAAAGAGATAGGCTGTATTATAGAATTTTAACAATTATAAGTCTTGAAACAGAGATAAGTTTTATCTTGCAAGTTTTGCTGTTCATTCGACTTATTGTGCCAAGCCTTTATAAAAATTACCCATCCCTCCTCTCTCTCAGCCACAGGGAACCATTAAGAGGAGACAGGAAGGAGACAACTTCCAGTTTCCAGGCATGGCTGATGGGGGTTACCCTAATAAAAGCAAGAGGCTTTGCCTTGAAGATGTCACCCTTTCTATGGGCCCAGGTGCCCATTCCAGCACGCCCTGTACAGAGCTGCAGGTTCCTCCATTGACAATGAACCCTAGCTCTTCAGCTATGGGAGCAGCGGGCCATTCATTACTACTCGAAAATAATTCCATGAATGGCAGCATAATGGACTCACCATTTGTGGTACCACCGAATGCAGAAATGGGACTCAAAGGGCCCACTGTTCCTTACTATGACAAAACCAACAGCATAATGACTGTGGAGCAGGACCAGGAACTTCAAGATCTGCTAGAGGAGCTAACAGAAATTCAAGATCCTTCTTCAAATGAGCTAGATCTTGAGAAGATACTGGGGAGCAAGCCAGAAGAACCACCGGTCTTAGATCACTCCCAGGTAACCCTGGGCACAACTCGCAAGCCTTTGGCTCAGATGTCACACTTGGAGAGCCTTGGTTCCAGTAAGGAGTTTGCTTCTGGTTGCAGCCAGGTCACTGGTGTATCACTTCAAATCCCGCCCTCCTCTGCAGGGATCAGCTATGCTATTCCCTCCACCAGTAAACAGATGGTCACACCCAGTTCTGCAACAACACAGGCCAAGAGCCAGGTCCAGGCGATGCTCCCCGTGGCTTTGCCCCCACTCCCGGTGCCTCAGTGGCATCATGCCCACCAGCTGAAGGTGTTGGCGGCCAGCAAGCAGGGATCTGCTACGAAGCAGCAAGGGCCCACATCCAATTGGTCTGGCCTGACCTCTCCAGGCCTGTCCCCACCTTACCGCCCAGTGCCATCGCCACACCCGCCACCACCTTTCAGCTCACAGAGCCTCATGGTATCCTGCATGTCATCCAGCAACCTGCCGGGGAGCACTCTCCAAGGCTCTCCCAATGCCTTACTCTCAAACATGGCATCCAGCAGCAATGCTGCCCTTGGGCCCACTATGTCCTATGCTCCTGAGAAGCTCCCCAGCCCATCTCTCAATCAGCAGCCACAATTCAGCCCACAAAGCTCCATTCTTGCCAACCTAGTGTCCTCTACCATTAAAAGCCCTCAAGGCCACCTGATGTCTGCTCTGCCCACCAGCAACCCAGGGCCCTCCCCACCCTACCGCCCAGAGAAGCTTTCCAGCCCAGGCTTGCCGCAGCAGTCCTTCACTCCACAGTGCTCCCTGATCCGGAGCCTCACTCCTAGCAGTAATCCACTAAGCCAGCAGCAACAGCACCAGCAAACAAATGCCATCTTCAAGCCCATGGCCGCCAACTCACCCAAGACCCTGAGCATGATCATGCAGCAGGGGCTGGTCAGCTCCAGACCAGGAGCCCCGGAGCCATTTACTTTTGGCAACACCAAGCCCTTGTCACATTTCGTTTCTGAGCCGGGCCCCCAGAAGATGCCCTCCATGCCTGCCACCTCTAGGCAGCCTTCTCTACTCCACTATCTGCAGCAGCCTATGCTGACGCAGGCCTCTTCTGCCACTGCCTCCTCCACCGCCACGGCCACTTTGCAGCTGCAGCAGCAGCAGCCTGACCGTTCTTCGTTCCTTCTGCAGCAGATGATGCAGCAGCCCCAGCGCTTTCAGCGATCAGCAGCTTCAGAATCCATGCCTCCTCTGCCAAGACAGGTAAGACAGTCTTATATCTGGTTGGTTTCCTTGGTTTTGGAAGAACCATGTCTTGTACTATTGATACCTGGCTTTGGAGGCAATTCCAAGCTCTAGTCCTCTCTGAGACTAGGCTTGACTCTGGAAAAGTCTGTTGAAGCCAGCTAACTCTGGATGGTTGAAGCACAGAATTAATTAGGCCAAGGTTATGGTTTCAGTTCCTGTGCAAGGGAAAAGCTGCACCCAAAGGTGCTGCCAGGGGAAGGATCGAGGAGTGACAAGTCACAATTGTACAGAACTGCCTTCTCCTATACTGGGTAATGGAACATGATCCCTCACACAGGACCAGTGGAGGCTTTGTAGGATGCAAGAAAATTTCGCTGAAGCATTTAAATCTTGTCTTTGCTGGCATAAGGCTAAACATTGAGCTTTCTAGAAATGCCACAGCAGACTTCTGAGCAGTTCCAGTGTGCTATTATTCACCACTGTGCTGGATGCTGAAGGAGTTCATAAATGGAAAGGACAGATACATGTAATGTAGTTATTACTTTTATCATCTCCGTTTTACACACAAAGAAACAGAGGCTCAGATTGTTGAAATGACTAGCCCAGAGTCACACAGTTAAAAGGGCAGAGCAGGAACTTGAACCCAGGCAGTCACCCTCCAGAGTCTGTGCTTTTCTCCAAATTACCATGACTTCTCTCTCCCTCAACTTCTACAGTCTTATCAATTACTAAATTCAGCTGATGCTGCCTGGGTGGTGTTGATCATAGTTCCCAATTTTCATTGTTCTGATCCCTACCTGTATTGTTATCTATTGCCATGTACCAAATTACCTCAAAACATCTATTTAAAACAACATGCATACATTACCTCATGCTTTCTATGGGTGGGAATCCTAGCATTGCTTAGCTGAGTCTTTTGGCTTCAAGTCTCTTCTAAGGACTGTAATCATCTCAAGGCTCAGCTGGGAAGGGTCTACATCCAAGCTCACTCCCATGGTTGTTGGCAGGAAGCAGATCTTTGCAGGTTGCTGGACTGAAGCCTCAGTCCTCATGAATCATTGACCAGAGGCCTTCCATGATTCCTTGCCATGAGGTCCTCTTCATAGAGCATCCCACAAGATGGCAGATGGCTTCATCTGAGTGAGCAAAATAGAAATATGCCAACAAGAGAGGCAGAGGGAATGCCAAGAAGTCAGAAGTTGCAGGTTTTTGTTTGTTTTGTTTTGTTTTTTAAATATCTTTTTATTGATTTCAGAGAAGAAGGGAAAGGGAGAGAGAGATAGAAACATCAATGATGAGAGAGAATCATTGACTGGCTGCCTCCTGCACACCCCCTACTAGGGATCGAGCCCATAATCCAGGCATGTGCCCTTGACAGGAATTGAATCTGGAACCCTTCAGTTCACAGGCCAACGCTCTATCCACTGAGCCAAACCAGCTAGGGCAGAAGTTGCAGTTTTTATAACCTGGTCTTGAAAGTGACATTCCATCACTTTTGCTATATTCTGTTCATTAGATGCAAGTGTGAAGGTGTGAATACCAGAAGGGGATTACATGAAGGTGTGAATACCAGGAGGCAGGGATCAGTGATGTCTGCCAGAATACTATGCCATGGTCCCGCTTTCCCATTGCTCTTATCCCTGCCAATGTCCAAGCCCTCTTGATTCTTTGTCTGAACTCATACAGTTGACTCTTACATTAATTTCCCCCAATAATCCATTCATTGCTCTAAGCATTACATTGCTATAACAGAGACCTGATCATGTTTCATACTTGTTCAGAAGTTTCCAGAGGCCCATAACCTGGCTCCATCTACTTCCTTAGCAGTCTCCATTGGGCCCTGATTGGCACTTCATTTCCATAACCCAGAAGTGCTTGCAGCTCCTGGCACACGCTGTATTCTTGGCCTTTACTGCTGCTATTCACTCTACCTGGCCTTCCCTTACCACCTTTTCTTTCCTATCCCACTCTTACAATCCCTAAGGTTCAGGCACCTCTCCAGGAAGCTTTTCCCTGACTTACCTTGGTACTTCTGTCTCCCACTCTGCCGCCCCCTTCTGTAAAGAAAGAGATAGCCATGATGTGCTTAGCCAGGGATCTGGCCCAAGTGAAACACCTGTCAGGCTGCCCTCTTTCCTGAACACCTTGGATATGTGTGACCCTGGTAGCCCTTGAAGGATAGAGACTATGTCTTTTTTGTCCACGTCTCATGAAGCATAACCAAACAGAGTGCTCCACCCCAGGGCATCGGTTCTTTAGTGGATGCACACAGCAAACAGAGCTCCTGTGGGGGTGGCCAGGATGAGCTGCAGGCCTTTGTCCACAGTTCAGGAGGACTTCAGTTTGATTTTGTTATAGGCCACGTGTTGTCATGTTGTCATGGATTTCTGCAGCTGGCTCAGTGGAGCGCCAGTATCAGCACTAGAACTCTTACTCTGGCAGGCAAGATCCTCAGCCTGGAGATGTGTCACCATCTAACATTGTGAGCCTTTTGGTTTTTTTATGTTTCTTCAATGGGGTACATTGTAGCCTGATTATGTTGCCTCAGAGCTGGGTCAGAGGGAGAATTCTTAATGACTGGGGTTATAAAAATCACACCCAACCCATTACCTAGGTGGAGTTGGAGAAATTGTTCAGGAGAAAGACCGAGTAGCCAAGCTCCCTGAAGTTAGGAAGGACTCAGGCTGCCTCTACCAGGAGAGGCACAAGGCTGGACTCCCTGAATGGAATGCTCTTGCTGCCAAAAGCTGCCTTCTCAAGCCAGCACCAACCAGTGCCCACAGGCTAAGCATGCAATACAGTACTTCACCTGCCTTTTCCAATTTTAATCCTAAGAGGAAGGGGCTGCTATCACTCCCTTTAAAGCTGAGAAAATTTAGGCGCAAAGAAGTCACCAGTTACCCACAGTCACACAGCAAGTCAGGACCAGAGCAAGAAGTCTCACTACAGAGCCCACACTCATAACCCCATGCACAGAGCACTGCCTCCAGAGGCTGGGCATGATGATAGGTTGTTTGAGGATTAAATATGTTAATACATCTAAAACACTTCAAACAAGGCCTGGCACAAAGTACCTACCAACAAAGCTTTGCTATAACTATGACTCTAAACTCCTAGCCCTGAGCTTCCAGATCTATTTTCTGGTGCCTAAGATGTGACTCTCAAAACTGGTGCTATCTCATGACAGAGCACACAGAGTGCTCTCTCCAGACTCCATGCCCACCAGGAGATTGACAGGAGCTGTGGAGCCTACTAGCTTTATGGTCTCTTCCTATTCTAGGCCCTGCACCACCTAGACAACTCCAGGCCAGGTGGAAAAGGAGAACAAGCCATTTTTGTTCAGCTGGCTGGGATTTCCTCTTTGTTCTTTCTGGAGCTCTCTCACACTCTCACTCTACCCCTCTACATAGCACCCTGTTCTGTCTTTGGCATCCTTCTAGCCAAAATGCACTGAGCAGGCCTCCAAGCTGGGCACATGAACAGATCTGCTGTTCCTTCTTGTGGTCTTTCCTCATTCGCTTTAAGGCCTAAGAACTTAGCCCTGACTAGTCTTGCAGGGGTGAGAAAAAAAGAAAGGAAAAGGAAAGTGTTTGAGGCAATAGCTAGGTAACCCATGCAAGGACAAGACAGCAGCCCTAGTGGTGGGGAAGGACATGCTTCTTGTTTCCAGCATGGCAAACTTGTCAAGTTTTACTGACGGCCATACTGAGCCCTAGCAGACACTCCTTGCTGACTATATGGCATTGACTAGCTCATTGATCTTCCATGGACAATGGTGGTCACTATGGGAGGACTGGACATTCATTTTGATCCAGGTGTTAGATTTTTTAAAGTTGTAGTTTCTAAATGTAAGATGAGAAACCAGCTCATGAATAAACAGAAGTGCCAAATCCAGCTATGTAGAGGAGCCCATTCTTATTTGCAGACTAATATTTCCAATCTTAGGGAATTTCACTTTACCATTTAAGTGAATGATAAGGTGAAAGGCAAATGCCATCTGACATCTGGGCAGCAGTTCAACGTGGTGGTATAAGAAAGAGCACTGGAGGCAGACAGAACTGGGGTTCAAGTCCAGGCACCAACACTGACTGGGCCGTGTGCCAGTAGCAATGTCTATTATCCCCTTGAGCCTCAGCTGCACATGGGGAAAGGAATAATCCCCATCTCTTAGGGCATTACATGACAAAGGAGACACTAAATTGAACTTGCGTAGACCCTTGCCCTGTGCACAACACGTGCTCAGTCAGGACTGCTGCAAGCTCCTGGTCTTGGGTCTGAGACCCATGGGTTCAGATGCATATCCAAATTCAGGACATCTGGGACTTTAAAAAGGTAACACAGTGCATATACCAAAAATCACACAACCCTCCAATGGAATCTGGGCAGCCTTTTATTACTTTTGCAAATAAATATGAATATTTAACTAACTCCAGGTCAAACTTTGTCACCAAAATTACGAAAATAAAGTAAGTTTTCAGAGCTTTTTGGACATAAAATTACAGATACAGAATGTGGACCTGGCATTACTAAGGGAGGGACACCTTTCAGAGTTGTGACACCCAGCTCTGGTGTATTGGATTTTAATAACCTCAGATCTCCTCACTGTATTCCCCACCCTGCTTCTGAGGCTCAATGACATCTCTCTGTTTTTAACCAAAGTGAAGCAAAATGAATTTTAATTTATTTTTTGAATTTTTTTAAATTTATTTTTTTATTGTAATACTTTCTTTTTTTAATTTAAAATGAATTTTAATTTAATGCCCCTTTACCGTGAAGACTATTAGAGATACCTTAAGGTATTGGAAATGTCGAACAAGCAGTGTTAGGACTTCAATTTTACCATCAGCTAAATTTACCATTGGCAAATTCACCTCAAAAGGCTGAAACAGGTCCATCAAGGAGATGGGACTTGTGCTCTGGGAGAGTTGGGTGCCCAGAGTGCCTTCAGGGCACGTTTGCAAAGCTGGGAGTGTAGCATTATGGGGAGGAGAGATGGGAGGGTGGCCAGTTGGAAT